CCTTGCTTACCTGTAACTTTTTTCGCCTCAAACTGCAAGTGCTGTGAAATACCTAAGTAGGGTTTAGGGCCTCGGGTTTGGGTTTTTGGAGTCAAGGCATAGGCTGTTGGCTTTAGGGTTCAGGCGTTACGGCCTTAGGGCTTTAAGGCCTCAGTGATTTTCAGGGCTTGGGGCAGCTGGGGGCTTGGGGCTTCTAGAGGGCTTCGTGCGTTTAGGCCTAGGCCTGTGTTTTAACTATGGCTGAAGGCTTCTAGGGCCTCGGTTTTCTAGGCTTCCTAGCATTTCGGGCTGTCAGGGCTGAGGGCTTTGGGCTTGGGGCTTTCAGGGCCAAAAGCTTTTAGGGTTTAGGGTTTTGGGATTTCGGATTTGAGGGTTAGGGTGTTGGGGACTTACGGCTTTTAGGCGTTAGAGCTAGGAGTGTATAGGGCCTAAGGTTTCCCGCAGCACGTATGGTTTGCACTTTGCACACAGACATTGCTCATGCTGCATCTGCGCAGCATGTCCGGCACAATGTCTAGAGTGTTCCCTCTTGATGCCAGAGATCTCCGGACATTTCCTGACACCGTCAGAAGCCTCGTGCTCACTTACTTGCAGCCGGCACTGCTTCTATTGTGCAGCACGAGCGCACAACGAGCGAGCTGAGACGGCAGCGACACAGCTCGACGACGAGCAGGACTTGGGAGGCTTCCTTGACCCTGAGACACCACGGCGGTGCTTGGAGAAGGGACCAGGGCTGACTGTTTAGGGTTTAGGGATTAGGGTTTTGGGGTTTAGGCTTTAGGGATTAGGGTTTTGGGGTTTAGGCTTTAGGGTTTGGAGTTTAGGGTTTTGGGTTTGGGGTTGGGGGCTTGGGGTTTCGGGTTTGGCCTTCTCAGGCAAAACGCTACGCCAGAAGCCCTCGACGTAAAATCCTAAAACGCTTAAATGCTTAAAACCCAAAACCCTCCAACCCTTTGTGGTGCTTTACTGTAACTTTAGATCTTTAGCCTTTTTAGGTTTATTGGGTTTCTTAATAAGGCCGCTAGAAGTTTCATTTTTTACTACCCTCCTAAGTGCAGCCAAGAACCCTGAACCGCTCCAAGCCCCGAGCTCCAGGGCTGATAAGGAAACGGTTCCAGGGTCTTAGGGTCTTCGGGTTCGAAGGTTTTAGGGTCTTAGGGTCTTAGGGTTCTAGGGTTTTAGGGCTTTAGGGTCTTAGGGTTCTAGGGTTTTAGGGCTTTGGAGTGTTAGGGTGTTAGGGCCTTAGGGCTTTAGGGCTTTAGGGTTTTAGGGTCCTACCGCTCTAGGGTTCTAGGGTCTTAGGGTCTTTGGGTTTTTAGTAGTTCGCGCTTTTCAGGTTTTAGCGCTTTAGGGTCCCAGTATTTATGAGTTTTATGGCCTAGGGCTTTTGAGTTTTAGGGTCTTAAGGTTTTAGGGTTTTAGGAAGTTTTAGGGCTTCAGGGTTCTATTGTTTTCGGGTTTCAAGGTCTGAGGGTTTCAGGGTGTCAGGGTGCAAAAATAGAAAGTTTCAACTAAGAACTAACCCGGCTACCTTAGGGTTTAGGGTTCTTTGTGGTGCTTTACTGTAACTTTCGATCCTCAGCCTTTTTGGGGTTTCTTGGGTTCTTAGTAAGGCAGCGTAACTTTCGGTCCTTAGCCTTTTTTGGGGGTTATTGGGTTTCTTAGTAAGGCGGCTAAAGGTTTAAATTTTTACTAACCTCCGAAGTGGAGCCAAGGGGTTTGTGGTGAGTTTGCAAGATCAGGGCTGCAACAGGTTCCCCCCAAAAAGGGGGGCCGACCATACACTTGCTAGGCCCTGTGCACCCGAAGCCCTAAACCTAAATTAAACACTAAAAAATCAACCCTAAACCCTAGAGCCTAGACCCTAAACCCTAAACCCTAAACACTTACCCTGAGACCCTAAACCCCTAAAACCACCCCCAAAGAAGAGCGAGAGGTCTGGACTCTACTGCGCCAAGCTGGAAGGCGGTGAGACGGGCCAGCGCAGGGCCCAGCAGGAAATCCTTGGTCCTTGGTTTAGGGTTTCGGGTTTCGGGTTTAGGGTTTAGGGTTTAGGGTTAGGTGTAGGGCTCGCAGGTTTCAGGGCTCATCTTGGTAGCCCTGTGGTACAGTACCCTGTTACCCCTTTTTTGGTTCAAGGTTCCCTGCTACGGTAACCATCCAAAAAGGGCGCCCCTTATTATGAGATGGTTAGGGCTACCAAGAATCGGGTTGGCGTGTTGCTTGCTTTCCGTTTGTAGGGTTTTCAGGGTTTACAAGGGGTTACTTGGAGGTTCAGGTACTTATCAGGAAGTGCCCAACGGCCCTATGACTGCCCAACGGCCTTATGGCACCAACGCCCCTATGAATGAAGTGCGAACGCCCTTATACAGCCAACGCCCCTGTATGATGTGAATCAGCCCGGTAATGCAAGCATTTTGGGCCCAATGTATATACATAGACCTTCGAATCCCCTTTGACAAATTTGTCATATATGGCTAGTAGCACCAACTATAACTGCACATATGAGGCCCCAAAGACGTCCGCTAAGTAGGTTCCAAGTAGACATATACTTGGAGTTATAAGTACCCATGAACTTCAGGATTTCCCTAAACCTTAAACCCTAGACCCTAAACCCAAAAGCCCCCCAAAAAGCAATCATCAGGGGAACCACGTTTTTGGCCGTGGCTTCTCTGGCGGCTTGATATCCAAATCCTAAACCCTAAACCCTAAACCCTAAACCCTAAATCCTTAACAACGCTTCGGGTTTGGGGTCTAGGGTCTACAGTTGTTTTTTTTGTTCAGGCTTTAGGGTTGAGGGTCCTAAACCTTTCTGGGAACCCGACACCCTGAACCCAAAACCCTAAACCCTAGTCTAGAATCAAGGCTCTTCGTCTTGAATGGCTTTTACGCCCGCATGCGCGAGAAGCCCGGGGGCCCAGGCAGTTTTTAGGGTTGAGGGTCTAAGGGTTTAGGGCTTAGGGCGCTGGTACTTTTGCTATAGGACCCTAAACCCTAAACCCTAACCTTCTGGGAGGGGTTTCATGGGGTAGGCATGTAGGGAACCTTAAGGAGCCTTTGGGATTAGAATGCCTGAAGCTCTGATAGCCCTAAGCCCTGACTGCAGATGCCAAACTTCTATCGCAGCCTCAGTACAGCAAGAAGTAAGCCCTGAGACCTAAGCCCCCGGCCCTAGATCCTTAACCCCCTAAACTCTTAACCGTGAGCAGCTAAACGCTCAACTCCAAACCCCAAAACCTCATTTCTAATCCCTGAGCCCTAAAACCCTAGACCCTGAACCCGAAACTCTCATCAGAAACCCTAAACGAACCCTAAAACCCTAAACCCCTGAACCCCTAAACCCGAAACCCTAAACCCTGAGGTTTACAAAGCCGGGCGTGGTGGTGCACTGGCACGTCGTAGCCTTCGACTCGGCGGAGCTGCTCCCAACTGAGCTGACGGTTTAGGGTTTAGGGTTTAGGGTTTAGGGTTTAGGGTCCCTGAATTCTAGAAGCCCTAAACCCTGAACCCTAGACACCCTAACAACCATGAAGCCCTACATCCTAAGAGCCCTCAACGTCTGGCACCCGAAGAGCCCTAGAACCTACACCCTCAGAGCCCCGGAAGCCTAAAGCCCGAAAAGGGTTTAAGGTTTAGGGTTTAGGGTTTTAGGGTTTAGGGAGAGAGAGAGAGAGAGAGAGAGAGAGAGAGAGAGAGAGATGGAGAGCAGAGGTTTCGGGGTTAGGGCTTAGGGGGTTCAGGGCTTAGGGGTTTCGGGTTGGGATGCCCTGCGGCGCCCTCCTTTTCTTCATTGCCTAGGGTTGCGTTCCCGCCTGCCCTCCAACTAAAGGCGAGACATCGTCCTTCTTGTGTCTTTGGCTACTAAGGTCTGTATCCCCCTTGGGAATTATTTTTCTTTTTGTTTATATAAAGCCCAAGAGGATATTGAAAATGCGTTTTTTGTTAAGGTTCTAAGGGGAGTACAGAGGTTGGGAGGCAAGCCTCAGTACCGTACTCTTCTCTTTCGCTTCCGCACCCAAGATGGCCAAGCGCATGGCCAAGATCGGCAACTGCAAGGCAGCGAGGACGGCGGTCACGTGTGATGAAGCCACGTGTGACATCGACCAGATCTTGCCGGATCTCGATCGTCTGGCTGAGCTGCGCCAAAAGCCATGTCGTCGCCGGGATCGAAGTCGCAGAAGCGCCAGCGCAGCTATGCGGCTTACCGACAATCAGACTGACCCTAAACCCTAAACCCTAAACCCTAAACCCTAAACCCTAAACCCTAAACCCTAAACCCTAAACCCTAAACCTAAGCCCTAAACCCTGGTGAAGGTTTTGCAGGGCTCCAAGGTTGAGCCGTTTGGCTCGGGTGTCGAGTGCTCTTTCCGCGCTGTAGTGCTCCAGCCAGCCTCTTCTGTGTCGAATAGGACTGGGAGTCAGGGCTCAGGGTCCCCAAGTGTTTTTCAGGGTTAATCTCATCCCCCCTTTATTAAAGACCCCCAAAATACTAAAAGTACTTCCCGGAAAATCCTGCCGAAACCGAGCCCGCCTGTTAAACCCTATTCGGAATTGGGGGGGGGTTCAGGGCTCCCAAAACCCTGCAGCCAACGAGGGTTTAGGGTCTAGGGTTAAGGGTTTAGGGTTTAGGGCTTAGGGTTCATTAAGGGTTTAGGGTTCAGAGTCCAGCCTTTTCGCAGCAAGGGATTACTTGTCGTGCTTGGCACCTTTGCACGGCTTCAAGTCGTATGACGACGTCGCATGGTCCACCTTAAACCCTAAAACACCAAACTAGGGTTTAGGGTTTCGGGTTAGGGGTTAGGGTTTAGGGTTTAGACCCCAAACCCTAAACTCCAAACCCCCCAAACCCCCCAAACCCGAGACCCGAAGCCCTGAGCCCCAAAACCCTAAAACAACCCGAAGCCCGAAACCCTAAACCGCAAACCCAAACCCTAAACACTAAACACCCTAAACCCTTAAAATCCCTAAACGCGAAACCCTAAAAACCCCTGACGAAGCAGGCCGTGGACCCGCTTCCGCAGCGAAGTCATCGGGGCCACCAACCCTGAGGAGCCCACATGACAAAGGGGGCTTAGGGTTTTAGGGTTTCGGGTTTAGGATTTGGGTTTAGGGTTGGGGTTTAGGGTTTCGGGTTTAGGGTTTGGGTTTAGGGAGTTTGCAGCTTGACGAAGGTTTGTATAGGGGTGTGGCTTCCCGGGATTTGGGTACGCCTGCCATGGATCTTGCCAAGCCTTCACACCGTGTTTCTTCTGCGATGCCAGAAGAGCCAGGGCCTTCCACGCCGACGAGGAGCAGAGTCGCCGGAACCTGCGCAGACTACAGCTGAGTCCCACGACCGTGCATACCCAAAGGCTCCTATGTAGTACCTTTTTGGGGTAGTATATTAAAATCCCCTATAACTAACCCAAAAAGGAACTACATTGGAGCCTTTGGGTAGGTACGACGAGGAGCCGCTGAGTCCCCTTATCTACTTCGACTCTCCACACGCTAAGCGACTGAAGCGCTTGCGCAACTGGCCCAAATCGCTTGGGCGGTGCTTGCGATGGATTTTCTGGCGATGCAAGGCCCCAGACATGCAAGCCCAAACAGGAATCCCTCAAAGCATAAACGGAAAACGTAGCCTGTAGCAACTTTTGTGTTTAAACAACATCAAATTCAAAACAAGGTTCCCGCCTAGCCGAAACGATTCAAATAGCTAAAAAGCGCCCGCCCTTCGACTAACTTGTACTGCTTTTTCCTGCTGCCCACAACCCCCTAGACCCTAAACCCTAAACGAAAAAACCCTAAACCCTAAACCCTTTGTTTTCCTCACATTCTCCGTGTTACGCACTGCCATGCATGACCCTAAATACGCAGGGCTCACGAACCCGCGTCCCACTTTGGTTTCGTGAATCATGGTAGCCCAGTGGTACCCTTAAGAAATTTTGCAGGTTTCCGAAATTAGGGTTCAGGGTTTAGGCTGTAGGGTGTAGGGTATAGGGTTTAGAGTTTAGGGGTATCTTATTGGGGTCCGTATTCTAAAGGAATCCGGCTCTGTTTTGGGGGGCTATTATAGGGGTCCGTTATATTCGTAAACTCCCTTTTTTTCTCTACTTTGGTTCTAGGTTGCCTTCACAAGAAACCAATCCCAAAAAGGGGACCCTTATTTTACGCTGGTCACTGGGCTACCCGTGAATACGGTTTGCCCCTTTGGGGTCTCCATTGAAGTACCTTCCGTCTCGTTTAGGGCAAAGTTTCGGGGTGTAGGGTTTAGATTTTAGGGTTTAGGGTTTAGGGCTTAGGGTCAGAGTAACATACAAAGAACCATCGCTGAACTGACCAGATTACTTGAGTGATTCTTGCTAAAGGTTCCCGTCATCTGAAGCAATTTGTTTTTTTACGAGTTCTCTTAAAGGGGCACACAACCTATACATGGGGATGTTCCCCCGTATACTAACAGTCCTTAATGGGGATTATAGTAGGGCGGGGGTAATATAATCCCTGTTAACGACTGTTAGTATAAGGGGGAACATCCCAACACAAACACTCACCAGCGTTGTTTTTGGCAGCAGCCCCCGAAGGACCCTACCGGTCTTGCAGCTGGTTGTTAGTTTGACGAGGGTGTTGGGTTCAAGGTCTGCGGGTTTGGGGCTTTAGGGTTTAGGGGTTTAGGAATTTAGGAGTTTAGGGGTTTAGGGTTTGGGGGTTTAGGATTAGCCCGTGTCGGTCTGCAGTGGCAGAAGTGGGTCAAGACAGAAGGCATAGGAGCCGACGACCACCCACTAGGGTTTCCAGGGGTTAGGGTTTGTTCAATCTTGCAAATCTCCTGTGCCCTAAACCCAAAACCCGACACAACCCTAAGCCCTAAACCCCGAACCCCAAACCCTAAACCCTAAACCCTAAACCCCTAACCCTGTTTTTTCAAATAAACGCTGGAACGATCTCAGCCCGGTGCCGGCAGGACGCCGTGTCAGGCTCGTTGCGAGCCAGGCTCGTTGTCGCGTTTAGGGTTTAGGGTTTGGGGTTTAGGGTTTAGGGTTTAGGGTTTGGGGTTTAGTGTTTAGGGTCTCCGGCGCCGCGCGTCTCAAGGGATGTGGGTTTAGGGTTTAGGGTTTAGGGTTTAGGGTTTAGGGTTTAGGTTTTAGGTTTAGGGTTTAGGGTTTAGGGTTAGGATTGAGATTGAGACTCGTACCCCTAAGGTTGTACCCCTAAAGGTTCCCCTTAATATACTCCGAACATGGCCCTTATATTCCACTTGGGATCCTTGAAAAAGGGACCCTAGAACCCAAGGGTACAACCTAAAGGGTCCAGGCAGAACCCCTAGATACTTACACTCCTTCCGCCCTGCAGTTATAGGGCCGTTAAGGGAGCGGGGTTCATGGGGGGGACAGGTGCCTAGGGAAGCCTTTGGGAGTTGTGGGGAGTATGAAGGAACCTTGGGTTACATACCCCCCTTGAATCCCATTTATACGCCCCTGCAGCCTAAACCCGAACCCAAAGCCCCAAAACCATAAACCCTAAACCCAAGACTTAAACCCTAAACCCCAAACCCTAAACCCCAAATCTTAAACCCCAAAATGCAGTGTCCAAGTCCTATGCACTCAGCCCTGCATGCAACGCCCAGACTCAAGGGATTGAAGCTCGCACCCCTAAGGATGTACCCCAAGAGGTTTAGGGTTTAGGGTTTAGGGCTATAACTATAGGTAAATGGCCCTGAGTCAGCTTACAAAACCTTACAAAACCTATAGCAGCCTGACATCTTCAGAGGCCTTGTAAACCCCGCAAGTACAGGACCCTAGAAACCCTAGAAGCCCCCGGAAGCCGTCTAAGCCCCATACACCCCATAAACCCCATAAAGAGCCCTGTGACTCCTAGACCCTTAAGCCCCAAAAACCCAAAACCCTATAATTCCTCTAAGCCCTAAGCCCTAAACCCTAAACCCCTCGAACCCCCATACGCCCCATGAAACCTACACAAACCCTGTGCCTGAGCGCCCTGGTGGAAGGATCCGGGACGAGTGGAACGACCTCGGTCTGCTTGCAGAAACCAACTACCAGGACCTTGGGGGGCCTAAAGCCTGAACCCCGGACCCTAAACCGTAGAGACGAAACCCTAACCCCCCAAAACCCCGAAACCCTAAAAGGGGGTTCTAGAGCTTGATGGATTCTGGGGCTACAATTCGGGTTCAGGGTTTTAGGGTTGAGGGGTTAGGGTTTAGGGGTTTTAGGGTTTCGGGTTTAGGGTTTTAGGGGTGCTAGCGTTGGGGTTTGGGCCTCGCTGGTAGGGTTTTCTTGGAGGTAGGGTTTGGGAGTTTAGGGCGTAGGGTTTAGGGTTGAGAGCTTCATTGCATGGCTTACGGCTTGTTATGGTTGAGCAGCTTAGGGGTTTGGGGTTTAGGGTTTAGGGCTAGGGGTTCAGTGTTTAGTGTTTTGAGCTTTCAGAGCATCGAAGACCCCGGACCCCAAGCATCAATCCCAGGACAATGGTGTGCACGCCAGTGCCTCCCCGCTGGAAGCGCTCCGGGAACGGCAGGCCGGAGGATTTCAGGAGGGACTGAAAGGAGGGACCCTTCTAGGGGACCTTTTGGGGTAATGGAGGTACATAGGGACTACATGGTAAGGTTTTTGTAGGGGTTGTGGGGTTATGTAGGGGTGACCAGGGTGTGGACTGCCCTAGGCCCTGACGGTTTGGCTCTTGCGGTCCTGACATGGACGGGCCCAAATCCTCACCTTCAACCCTAAACCCAGGAAAGGCTTAGGGGGGCTCTATACCCCCCCCCCCCCCCGATGCGTTCCAACCTTGGGGTTCTAGGAGATCCTGGCTGAGACATGGAGAGGTGTGGCTAGGAGACGACGTGACGTCTGATGCCTTTGGCCGGAGCCCCGGCAAAATCCCAAAAGCCGAAGCCCCGGAAGGCCGCCTACAACACCGGTTTGGGGTTTAGGGTTTAGGGTTTAGGGTTTAGGGTTTAGGGTTTAGGGTTTAGGGCCCCAAATCTCCAAACTCTAACCCCGAAAGCCTTCCCCTGCGGTAATATCGACAGACCTGGCCCAGGCTCGAACAGACAAAGGTTTGAAGTTGTAAGGGTCTGGGGTTTAGGGTTTAGGGTTTAGGGTTTAGGGTTTGGGGTTTGGGGTTTAGGGTTTAGGGTTTAAGGATTAGGGCCTGGGGTTTAGGAATTTAAGCTTCAGGGTTCAGGGTTTAGAATCGCTGCGAATTCTGGTGCCAAATCGCTACCCGGTGCATAGCGGTTCCTTTGCTGTCGAGAGCGTCCGCGCAGAGTTACGGAGCGTTCCTCCCACAAACCCCTGAACCTTAAACCCTAACCCTAAACCCGAAACCCGAAACCCTAAGACCTAAACCCTAAACCCTAAACCCTAAACCCTAAACCCTAAACCCTAAACCCTAAACCCTAAACCCAGGCCAGCGCGTGGCCGAGCGCAGTTCCGTCGGCGGGGCGGCCCAGGAATCGGCGTAGAGCTCTCCTGTAGCTTTCGGTTTCTTTGTGGGACTTTACTGTAACTTTAGATCCTTACCTTTTTTGGGTTTATTGGGTTTCTTATTAAGGCAGCTAAAAGTTTGTTTTTTTACTACCCTCCTAAGTGCAGCCAAGGTTTTCTTGAGTGTTTAGGGGGTTTTCAGGGGCTTTAAATGTAAGCAGGTAGGGTTTAGTGTTTAGGGTTTAGGGTTTCGGGTTTGGGGTTTAGGGGTTTAGGGGTTTAGGGGTTTAGGGGTTTAGGGGTTTAGGGGTTTAGGGGTTTAGGGGTTTAGGGTTAGAGTGGGGAAGGGCGCTGCGGTGAGGGCGCAGTGCTTCAGAAGCACAAAACCTGCGTTTCTAGGGCTTGGGTTTTTTCGGGGTAGGCCTCTTGTGCGGGGCAGTTCCGTCCTTCCTCCCAACCCTAGTCCCTACTCCTAAACCCTAAACCCTAAACCCTAAACCCTAAACCCTAAGCCCTAAGCCCTAAGCCCTAAAGCCCGACACCTTCAAAACCTTGCAGTCCCACTCCTTAATTCGAGGTTTGGGGTTTTATGTATGTGTACACACATGTGGCATACGTACATACGTACGTACATACATACATACCTCAAATATAGAAGCATATATGGGTGGTTGTCAAAACTATGGTCCCTTTTTGGGTCCCTATTATAATACGGCACCAAATATTTAGGGTACCCAAAAAGGGGACCATAATTTTGACAGCCACCCATATATGTGTATGGACTGTTTTAAAATGCTTTTGTGTACTCATTGGCTTCTGTTAAGCTTGCTTATTCACACAGAGCGTCTTCGGGTTGATGACCAGCCTCAATCACCCTTTGATGGCCTGAACCCTAAACCCTAAACCCCAAACCCTAAACCCTAAACCCTAAACTCTAAACCCTAAACCCTTGCTTCCAAGGCTTGCAAGAACTTGTGGGCAATTGCAGCATCGCCTTGGGTGAGAAGAGCGGTGCCTCCCCTGGTTCCCTCAAACGTTTAGGGTTTAGGGTTTAGGGTTTAGGGTTTAGGGTTTAGGGCTTCGGGCTTAGGGCTTATAGGGCCTAGGGTTCTAGGTTTTGGAGTAAGTACTATACTTTAATTCGATGTTTTTGTTGTGGGTTCCTATGAGAGCTACTTACACGTAAAAAGTATGTACGTTTTTTCCGGGTCTACTCCAAAGTAGGGTCAAGGCTGCGTCTTCGGGCTTAGGAGTTTTGTGGGGTTTGGGGTTCAGGGTTTAGGGCTATTTCACCCCCCCCCCCCCTCTCCGCCCCACCTCGCAAATGCCCCTTATGCTTCGGAGATGTTTAGCTTAGCTGCAAATACCCCTTAACAAGGGCCTGAGGGTAGCTACTTCCTGTTTGGCTGCTGAACACTTAAGACTCTACCAAATTGCTAAAGTTTCAAGCGCTGTTCAACTGAATGTTGAATGGTATTGCTTCCGGGATATGATGTAACAGAAAAGGAACTGAGAAAGCAATATTGGTGCAAACAAAAATGCACGACACCACCATTGTTACAGAGGTACAGGGCACCAGGGTGCGAGGTTTAGGGTTGAGGGGGTTTGTGGTCTTTTGGGGTCGTCGCCCCGACGAGTGCGTCTTGTTTGGCACAGCAGGTGGGTCCTGGGAGGGGTCCTTAAAAAGGAACTCCCCCCCCCCCCCCCCCCCCCCCCCCCCCCCCGCCCCGCCCCCCCCCCCCCCCCCATAGCGGGTTCTCTAAAGTACGGTCCCCTTTTTGGGTAGCCCAAATATTAAGGACCCCCCCCCCCCCCCCCCCCCAAAAAAAAAGGGACTATATTTTCGAAAAGTGGCCGAATACCCTAGACAACTATTGGGTCATTTCTAGGAACCCTTAAGGGGAGCTCCTTCTTGCATCCTCCTTTGTGGATACCCAAACCACACCCAGATCGAGAAGCATATGCCAAGTCTTTTTCGGCAGCGTTCGGAAGGACTTTTGGTCTAGGGTTTTGGGCCTTAGGTGCAGGGTTCAGGGTGCCCTAAACCCTAAACCCTAAGCCCTAAGCCCTAAACCCTAAACCTTAAACCCTAAACCCTAACCCTAAACCCTAAACCCTAAACCCTAAACCTAAACCCTAAACCCTAAACCCTAAACCCTAAACCCTAAACCCTAAACCCTAAACCCTAAACCCTAAACCCTAAACCCTAAACCCTAAACCCAACATTCTCAGTTTGGAGGTGCCAGCGACTTTGCTGGCCGCTGCCGACCCTAAAGCCTCCTCTGAAGACCTAAACCCTAAGCCCTAAGCCCTAAACCCTAAACCCTAAATTGTAGGAGCCTCCGGCTCAGGCCGCCGACCCAAGAGGCCTGAAACCTCTCAACCCCCTAACCCTAAACCCCACACCCGAAGAACGACAGTTTTCCACGAAGTGCAGCTTTTCATTTTTTTTTTGGGGGGGGGGGGGGGGTGGGTACCACCCACCCCCCCGCCCCCCCGAACGGAAGGGCGGGGGCACCACCCACCCCCCCCCCCCCCCCCCACCCCCACCTCACCCACCCCCCCCCCCCCCCGGCGCACATTCCCCCGCCGACCCTGGCGGCGTGTTGGATGGTTTTTGGGAAGCCCTTTGGGAAGCCCCAACAACCACACCCCCCCCCACACCCCCCCCCCCCCCCCCCCCCAAATACCTACAGCCCAACCAAAATTGCCCCAAAGATCGAATCGAACCCAAAGCCTCCACCCACCCCCCCCCCCCCACCCACCCCCCTCCACCCCCCTCACCACCCCCCCCCCCCCCCCCCCCCCGCGCACATCCCCGCAATTTCATTTCAAAATAATTCGAATTCAGAAAAAGGACTTGAAATTCAATGAAAAATAAACCCAACTAGTTCAAGATCATTAAAAACAATTAAAATATCAAGTGCAACGATAAAAAACACAAGAGAATAGAATTTTCGTTGCTTTGCAAATGGGTGAAAAACAATGCAAAGCAACGAAAATTCTATTCTCTTGTGTTTTTTATCGTTGCACTTGATACTTTAATTGCTTTTCATGATCTTGAACTAGTTGGGTCTATTTTTCATTGAATTCAAGTCCTTTTAGTGAATTCGAATTATTTTGAAATGAAATTGCGCCCTGCGCAGAGAAAAGCCGATTTCGCTTGCGCTGCATCTTGGTCCTGAGGCCTAATTGTGTGCCCCTTTGCACAGAGTGCTTCGCTCGATTCGGGTGAGATTTCGCTGCCATGCCGCGCGTGTCCGAGCTGGGCCAAGCTGTGCAACAAGCCATCATGAAAGACATGGCGGTGCTCATTGCGCAGTCAGGCCAGGTGTGTCTGTGTGTGTCTGTGCGTGCAGTTGAGTGTCTGATGCATGCCAACAAAGGCGGACATGTGGCGTGGGCATGCGGGCAGAGCGGAGAGCGGAGGGAGAGGGCAAGGGAGAGGGAGAGGGAGAAACAACGGAGATCGCAACAGATAGAAGCTGTGCCACTTGTCAGATGTGAAGCGCCTGAACCCCAAACCCCAAACCCCAAACCCTAAACCCTAAACCCTAAACCCTAAACCCTAAACCTCTCTTTCATATATAATTTAAATGTTAAGGAGCACTGGGCAAGGTCATTTTTTTTTACTGGGCAAGGTCATTTTTTTACTGGGCAAGGTCATTTTTTACTGGGCATGGTCGTTTCGTCCAAAAAAACGACCTTGTTCAATAAAAAAATGACCTTGCCCAGTAAAAAATGACCTTGCCCAGTAAAAATGTTACTGGGCAAGGTCATCTTTTTACTGGGCAAGGTCATCTTCTTGCTGGGCAAGGTCATTTTTTACTGGGCAAGGTCATTTAATCCGAAATCATTGCTTTTGAAATTGGAGCACGTGCTTGGTTGCGCGCGCGCGGGGGCCGCCTGCCGGCATGCTCAGTTGAAAGTTTGGTTTAAGGATTCTGGCAGGTTAATCCCAGAGACAGGCCGACGGCCTCGCATTAATCGCGTGTGCTCAACGGGAGTGGGCGTCTTCCTTAGCCCGTCAATCCGAACGCTTCGTGCTACTAGGATCTTCTCACCCGCTTGTGCACTTCACTTGCCGGTGGCAATGCGCGCACGGCTCTCGTTCCCACGCAGTCAAAAAAGAACCTCTACGTGTTCCGAAGATCGCTTGCAGCAACGGGCTTGTTCTCGACCAATCATAGAATATCATAGAATATTTAGGGCTAGGCTTGATTCGGGCAACCCCTTAGCCTCAAGCCCTAAAACTGGCCCCGAGGCCAAACAAGTACAAGTTACTGCGAGGGAATATTGGAGGATCGTAGTGATTTGGGGCGAGCTCATATGCATATCTGGGTTTGGTATCGAGGTTATGGGTTCGAGACTATGCGCAGTAAACTTTGCATGGTTTCAGCAACAAGGCTCTGGATTTGAGGTTCAGAGGCCGGTAAAGAAACATGAAAAGAATCAACAACTATAGAAAAGACACTTGCAGAAGTCCACAGCCAAATCACCCAACTCACGAATGAAGTGGGAATCATGCGAAGCTTTGGTGCTATCGTGACGAAGCCCCGCAAGGAGAAGTGCTGCCAGGACCCATCATCTTCGTCGTCGAGCAAGTAAAGAGGAGGTCAAGCCGAGCAAGTAAAGAAGAGGACAGGCGAGGCACCGAGCTGCTTGCGCAAGAGGTATGCTGCGCTGCGCGTCAGGAGCATCATGGTCTTTTGAACCACTCTGACTTTAACTCTCAACCTCGCTCCGCACCAGATAAAATACGTATGCCCCTGCAAAATCATTGGAAAACGTGCGATTTTTAGTTTGTGAAGTGCAGCCTCTCAGCAGTTTGACGCCAGGTGTTTGTCATGTTGCTGCGTTTGCTCTTCGTCTTGCTTGTCGTGACGGCAGCCGGGCCTACTGGGCCGCCTAGTGCTTTTGCAAAAGCTGCCGGAAAGGGTGGTCAAGGAAAGGCCGCCGCTGGAAAAGGCGTAGATGGGAGTACCACAGGTGACACAAGGGAAACCCAAAGTAAAGGTTCAGCCAAGGGCACCCCGGAGCTCGGAAAGAGCAAAGGCGAAAAGGGTGGTCAAGGCAAGGCTGCCGCTGGAAAAGGCTTGAATGGTGGATCCGGGAGTAACACAGGTGGCGCAAGGGAAATATTGGCAGACAAATTAATTGATGAAGATCTAAGATGTTGTGCCAGGTGCCGGCGCGCAGGTGATGACGTGCAGTGTAGGGACGCAGACCGTGGTAAGCTTGGTCAGCCCAGCTCCTTATTATTGATGCGCAACCCTTAACCTAATGCGAGGACTGGCAAACAGCGCAGGACAATGCGGCATGGAGAGTCCTCGGAGAGTCCATGAGGAAGTGGTTCGTGTTGGAGCCTCGGTGAAGTAGTCTTGGGCAAATATTCTGTGGTCCCCTCTTTGTGCTTACAATGCTGACTGGTGATTGCTAAGTGTTGTGTGGTCCCCTCTTCTAGCTTCAAAACCAAGAATATTCCTTAGTACGCATTATTTGGCTCCTTGCTTGTGCTTAACATCCCGAACAGTCCTTGGCATGCATTATGTGGTCCCCTTTTTATGCTTAACATCCCGAACAGTCCTTGGCAAGTATTATGTGGTCCTCTCCTTTTGCTTAAAATCTTGACGAGTGATTGCGAAGTCTTTCGTGGTCAGCTGTTTATGCTGAGAAACTTGAATACTCCTAGGCAGGTATATTGTGATATGAAAACCATGACTTAATGGTCCTCCCCAAAGTTTGGAGCCGGTGGTTTCGCAATTCATGGCTGGGCTGCTCGTGAACTAATCCCGCGTTTGTGCATGGGGAGGGCTGACTTCACGCAGCCCGAGCTGACGTAACCCCATTGCCAATATGCCAGCACCACGAACCGAGCAGAAGATTGCTTGAACACGCAGTGCCAACAAAAGCATTTGATCCCTCCAAAAGAGAGTTCAACATGAGTGGACAGACTTCAATTGTTTGCGCAAATCCAAACCTCATGCAGTTCTGCGTTTTGTAACGCCTGG